GCATACCTCTAAATGTTTCTGGAGCAATTCTCTAAATAACTGCATTAAAATTTAAAAATGCAATTTTTTAAAATTTTTTTGTAATTTTTTTCATGTGAGGTTTTGTGGAAATTCAAAAAATTAAGAACTGTTCCTAGGCTGAAGCTCTAAACTCCATAACTCAACTTATCTTAATCGGATTTTGAAGTGGCATACCTCTAAATGTTTCTGGAGCAATTCTCTAAATAACTGCATTTAAATTTAAAAATGCAATTTTTTAAAATATTTTTGTAATTTTTTTTATGTGAGATTTTGTGGAAATTCAAAAAATTAAGAAATGCCCCAAAGCTGAAGTTCTAAACTCCATAACTCAACTTATCTTAATCGGATTTTGAAGTGGCATACCTCTAAATGTTACTGGCTCAATTCTCTAAAAATCTGCATTCAAATTTAGAAATTTAATTTTTTTTAATTTTTTTGTCATTTTTTTCATGTGAGATTTTGTGGAAATTCAAAAAATTAAGAAATGCCCCAAAGCTGAAGTTCTAAACTCCATAACTCAACTTATCTTAATCGGATTTTGAAGTGGCATACCTCTAAATGTTTCTGGAGCAATTCTCTAAATAACTGCATTTAAATTTAAAAATTCATTTTTTTTAAATTTTTTTGTCATTTTTTTCATGTGAGATTTTGTGGAAATTCAAAAAATTAAGAAATGCCCCAAAGCTGAAGCTCTAAACTTCATAACTCAACTTATCTTAATCGGATTTTGAAATGGCATACCTCTAAATGTTTCTGAAGCAATTCTCTAAATAACTGCATTTAAATTTAAAAATGAAATTTTTTAAAATTTTTTTGTAATTTTTTTCATGTGAGATTTTGTGGAAATTCAAAAAATTAAGAAATGTTCCAAAGCTGAAGTTCTAAACTCCATAACTCAACTTATCTTAATCGGATTTTGAAGTGGCATACCTCTAAATGTTACTGGCTCAATTCTCTAAAAATCTGCATTCAAATTTAGAAATTTAATTTTTTTTAATTTTTTTGATGTTATGATTTCTAAAAATTTAAAATATTAAGAAACGTCCTGTTGCTCAGACTAAAGAAAGTTAAGTGCAGTTGAGTTGTTCTTATGGATTGTGAAAATGAAAAGTTTTCTTTCATTTCTGAGTGGGTATACGTTTTCTTTTGTGCTTTCACCATTTTATTGCGTTGATTTAATTTGCCGGCTCTGGCATGGGATAATAAAAGGCACATGAAAAATGTAGCAGATTCCAGGTGGAAAGTGGAAAGCAGCAGGCACAACATGGCCGAGTTCAACTCACCTGTGGCATATAGCCAATCCGGGGACCCGGCACTCCGGAACCCCGAGATCCGGGTCGTCCGCCAAGCACCCAAATCTCGCCAGAATTGAGGCGACGTCGTCCGACGATGCAGCTGAGCAGCGTTGTTTTCCCGCATCCAGAGGCGCCCAGGAGACCGTATCTGGAATTGCACATGGTTAGTTGAGCTTAAAGTCGTTTTTATAATGAGCTAAAGTGTACACGTATGCAGGTGGTTTCCAGTAACAGTTGCTCAGTTGCAAGATTTGCCCAAAAATAGTCTTAAAACCTAATATGTAAAATGTGTATTCTATCCCTTATTACTTTTATTTGTCATTAAGTTTATATAACACTTTTGACGCAGGATTAGCTATTAGGTCTTCTGCTCAATTTTATTACTAGTTTTTAAAATTAAAAAAAATGGTAATTCTTCAGCAAATACTGGTTCCTTAGTAAAATTTCTATGCATTTAATATGTTTTAAAAGTGATGTGCTGTCTCTGCCATTTCCCTTTACACCCATTTAAATTCAGAATCCCCTTGGAATTTCCTGGCTAAATTCCTTTGGATTGTGAGGAAAGATAATTACAGGTAAATCTGTAAATTCCGGCAGTGGGACCACTGGAAGAGGGGAAACCTATCGGAAAAATGCAACTGGCATTGGAGCTCCATTTAAGTTGGGCCCAAAAGGAGGCCAGAACACTGCTGGTCAGATAGTCGGATATTTTTCGGGAGAGGAGTCGCCCGTGTGTGCATGCCGCTCAAATATTTTAAGCACTCACACAAAGACTCGGCGGCAGGTGCACTTGCCAACACAGATACAAGCCAACACACTCGCACCCACACTTACACAGAGCCGCACTTTCCGAGGCACAAGGATGAAAAGCATCAGGTGAAAAATCAACTGTGAATAGTTTTGCAAAAATATTCAGGCGCAAAAAGTTTCATTGCTCGGTGCACGGTATTCTCTGAGCGCTCTCTGAGCCCAAAACCCCTCATTTTCCCTTCGCCATTTTCCAGCGCCCATTTTCCACCCCATTTTCCCAGCGCTCTTGTCGTACACCCCACATTTTCCGCCCACACTATCTTCATGTTCAGGTTCAGGTCGGTGTGGTATGTGCGCCGCTTATCTCGTGTGTGGAGGAGCTGTTGCAAAATATATTTAGGGAATGTTTAGCACAGCTTAGCGCGCCAGCCAGCCTCCGCCCACCGCCCTCCGCCCACTTACCACCCCCTAGACGACCTTACCCAAGTTGGCGTATTTTTTATTACGTGCGCAGCGCGCGAGTTTAGAAAATTGTTGGTCTGGCAGTTGGCAGTTAGATGGCGCAGAGGTCGGGGGTCGAGCGGTACGGGGGTCGCGGTTTGAGGTCGGTTTAGGTGTGCAGGTGTGTGTTTAGCCATGAATAACATGCAGGTCGATTGCAGGTGGGGGAGAAAGAGCCACACTGGTATAAGCCAAAGCCAAAGCAAAAGCCAAAGGGGTAAATAAAAGCACTGCTCCGCTCGGTCCAGCTTAAGGACACCCGAGTTGGCCAAAAAGGGATGGTTGGTTAAAACCGGCGAGTGGGAAAAAACAAGCATCGGGTTGGACAATGAAGCCAGATATGATTAAACACTCCACTAAACTGAAGCACTGAGATAAAACTAACGAAAAGTGGATAATTTGTTGGCTGTAATTGAGTGTTTCATCTCAAATGAACTTTTGTCAGACTAGTTTGGAATGTATATGGGAAAATAACCTGGAACTCACGAAAACCAATTAAATACATTTATGGGCAAAGAGAAAAAAGTGAATAGTGGTAGAAAAGTTCAATATGTTCAAATTTAATCAAGCTCAAAGTTAATTCTTTACATAATTTGAGGTTTCATTAGCATGAAACCAAATATAAAGTTTTAAACAACATAGAACGGGTTTCAAATTTGTATAAGCCTTTTTAGCTATTACTAGTTTTTTTATAGTCTCGATGGATTTATGTGCTTCAATGGTCACAGCTCATGCAGTATAATTGAATTCACCTGTTATGTTTTTGAGTGATATTTTTCCCTGTTTTGTTCCGGCCGTCGCGATTTCATCGTCCGCAGGCCAATTGAGTATTCCCGCCCAGTTTTATTATTGGTTTCCTGTGGCGAATTTCGCTACTTTGCATGCAATTGCATTTTTGCATATCGCATAGCATAAATACAATGCCATAAAGCGTTAAATGGGCAAGTGTCGTGTTAGAAGAGGTCGCTGCCATTAAACTATGCAGGGACTCTAAAGCAGACGCTGAAAAACTGAATTCCAAGTCACAAATTACCAACATTTACCTGCGGAGTGCGCATATTTCAGCCCCTAGTAAGCCCTGTTTTTGTCCACCTCCAGTTGGGTCTGCGTTTTGCCCGCAGGAAAACAGTGCAAACAAACAATAAGCAGCGATGCAGACGTTGACGTTGACGACCCGAGTTGATGTTGATGTTGATATTTCAACCCATTAACCTTTTTTTGTTGCTGTGATTTGCTGTTCTGCTGCGACGGCATTTAGTCTGAGCCCGATGCATTCCGCAACTCATTTCTGGATGGCCGTGATTGATGATTTCAACGTATATTAGTTCATTAGTGTGTGCAATTAGGTCGCCTGGCATGCATTTGGCTGGGAATGAGTTATGCGCTTATTAATTGAAGACTGCCATTCGCAAGTCGCGTGATTTGCAGGGATCATTACTTCGTATTTGAGTGTAAAACTACTTTTTAGCGACAGATATGTCTCTGCCACATTGGCTAAATGAAGTTACCACTTGCTTAATTTCACCGTTAATCAAAGTTCGCTCCTCTGCATTTCCGCCGGTTTTAATGTGAGCAAAAACATTTTTAATTACAATTTTAATAAGTAGTTGCTTACTCAATAGAGCCAGGATATACCCAGCACCCATATCACTTCGTTCACCTTGCCGTGACACATTGACGAGTGCACGGGTAAGAATCTGGGAGGGAAACTGAGAGGTTGGGGCGCTGAAACTTTGCACTTGACTTTAACAATTAGCTTGTGTCCTCCCCCATCCATCCAATGGCGGAATGGGAATTCCGGATACGCTTCAGCCCATTCTGCACCTTGTACCACCCCATTTCATTAGTAGGTGTAGTTGTTGCTAAGCAGCGCGTCACAGGCAATTACAGGGGCGGTAATGCGTATTTAATTAACAAGCTTACTTAGTAGTTTTCCATGGAAAATTTAGCTCATTGTTCGCCAGAATGCGAATGCGACCGAATAGCAGCAGCAGCAGCAGCAGCAGCAGTTGCCGAGTCGGGGGAACGAGCTAACTGACATTTAGACCCTCAACGACTCTGTAACGGTCCCTGCTCCCTGCTGCCTGCTGACTGCTGCCTATTTGCCTGTCTAATTAAACGGTAAACTTTTCTTATGGCCATTCAATTCCCACACCGATCTGTTTAGTTATTCGGTAGTTCGTCGTCGAGAGATGTCCGTAATCGAAAGTTTTCGGGGTACTTGGAATGGAAGTTAACCATGAGTGAGTGGGAGATCTTCTGTGCTTTTATGGGCTCGATGCTAATTGAATTGTCATTGATTAATTGGGCCTTGCCAAAAATTGTTCGATACTGCAAGAGCAATAACTTCCAGTCGTCTGGAGTGAAATTAGATGCTTCAGAAAGCAAGAAGTCAGCGTACACAGAGAAAAACTCATTCGGAATAGCCCTGCCTCAAATTTCACTTTCAAATTATTGATATACAGCATCAGCCAAGGAAATTTCGAGTGCGGCGTGAAAATCATTTGGATCATAAAATGGGTGGCTTTATGGAAAAACCGGAAACGGAAAAGCAAGCACGAGAGGGTCACGGAAATGGTCTGCGCTACTGCGTGAGTTCTATGCAAGGTTGGCGAATGCAAATGGAGGACAACCACTCGGCCGCTTGTCGCCTGAAGGATCCCTTCTCAATGTGGTCCTATTTTGCGGTATTCGATGGTCACGCTGGCAATGAAATATCACAGCATTGCGCTGAACACCTACTGAATACTATATTGGAAGCCGAATCCTTTTCAAAGCACATGTACGAGGCCGGAATACGAGAGGGTTTCCTGCAGTTGGATGAGGATATGAGGAAGCTGTATGAGCGCAACCAAGGTGGCTCAACGGCCATTTGCGTTTTCGTAGCACCGGACAAAATATATCTGGCCAACTGTGGCGATTCGCGTGCTGTGATATCGCGAAATGGAGCAGCTGTCATCAGCACAGAAGATCACAAGCCATTTTCTCCCAAAGAACAAGAACGCATTCAAAATGCCGGAGGCAGTGTAATGATTAAAAGGGTAAATGGCACTTTGGCCGTTTCCCGGGCATTCGGGGACTATGATTTCAAGAATGATATCTCAAAGTCTGCTGTCGATCAGATGGTGTCTCCGGAACCTGATATAACAGTTTGCAATCGTTCCGAAAATGATGAATTTATGGTTATAGCCTGCGATGGCATTTGGGATGTGATGACTAGCAGCGAGGTTTGTGAATTTATCAGTTCACGACTTTTGGTTACCTATGACCTGCCGATGATTGTCAACAGCATATTGGATATTTGCCTGCACAAAGGCAGCAGGGACAATATGACTCTGCTCCTCCTACTTTTGCCGGGAGCACCGAAGGTCGATATGGATGCCGTTAAGGCCGAAAGGAACCTCGATCAAACTATTATTCAAATAACCAAGGAAGTGATTGAGAAGCACGAGGTACACGACTTTGAAACACTTATTCGACTGATGAAAAGAATGTCCATTAACATTCCAAATCTACCACCTGGTGGTGGTCTTTATGCAAAATATTATATTATTGAGCAAGCTTTCCACGAGAAATTTCCAGATACTCCTACTGAAATCTATGACTATTTTTCAATGTAGAATGTTTGATGAATGGGAAGTTAACATAAGTGCAGTAAATTGTTGTAGTTATCATTCCGTTTGTTTTATTTTTATTTTTGTCCAGTGTATTCTTCGCTTCATTAGTTTATTCCAAAGAAATCCTCCCCTTTTGGATTGCCAGTGGAAGTGTGCTACTATGTAGCAACAGCTGTGCGTTATGGCCATCCAATTGCCAGCTTGTGCTTCGTCAAAAGCAGTGGCACAACATGGCATATACTTGATTTTTTCAATTAGATACAGACGCACGCATTACGCATACGCAATGCGTGCGGACCGAAGAACAATCAAACTCATAAAACTCAGACTTGGCAACAGATTCGCAATCGGACCTTTTCTCGGCTGCCTGGTAATAATTAAAATTTGCCTGCCACAAAGGATAAGCCCCGAAAGACAAAGTGAAGGAGTGCCACAGAGGGGCCAAAATGAAAAGTTATGAACTACAGCATGGGCAGTTACTGGTCCAGTTCAGTTCAGTCCAGTCCAGTCCAGTCCACTCCACAAAATCCACACAGTACGTGCCGCAATACACAACACTTGACCCAAGCAGTTGCAACAGTCATAACAATGACTGCTACTGCTACTCCATTGCTCCACTGCTCCACTGTTTTCTGCTTTTCGTTTTCAGCCCCTGAACAGCAGCTGTCCATTTTAATTTTCCAGCTTGTGTAAATAATTTAAACAATTCCATGTCCAGTCCGACAGGAATAAGGCAAAAAGAACTGCAGAGCGGAAGAGGAAAGTGCTCGGTTATTATTTGTTACCTCGACTCCCGTCCAGACTTGGCCTATTACTTGCGGTTGCCGAGTCAGCATTTGTTTAGCTTTCTTTGTTCCTTCCAGTGTTTCTTATTTTCTCCTCCTGTTCCGTCTTCAAACCAAATATTTTTGCTAGTCAAGTGAGCCCGTTTTGTGGGAGTACACATGGAAAATAAGTTACTGAATATGCATTCCGGATTTAAGGAACCATTCTTTGAATTTCAAATCGCAATCTACGCTGATTGTTTTCAATATCCATTTTGATGAAAAATAACAAGCTGTATACCCTTTTTTTTGAGTGTAGTGGGGAGGGGGAGCTCCGACATGAAAAAACAAATGAAAACAATAACATGTGGCCCCGATCCTCTGGTTATCTGGTTTTGAGAAGACCCTTCACCCTGGCTGGATGCACTCATGTCCAGTTTGTTTGTTTACTCTGTCTGGCAGCATGTCTGTTGCATATCAGTGACCAGCATATCGTTATTTTCCTATAATTTAGACAATTTTCAGAAGGGGTTCGCATATTCAAATAGTTTCTCTTGCGTTTAGATTTTCATTTCTAGACTGGCTTTTGCCATTTTAATCAACTGTTGTTGGATGCACGGCAATTGCTTATTAAAGGGCAAAATCAGACAGAGAGTTGGTTCCAGCCTCGGACTGTCTGGCCATTTGGTTTATGGAACTTTGGCCAAATATTTGACTTTGGCTCGGGCCAGTCGACAACATTTGCAACATTTTTCTATTTGCTTCGTTAACCGCACACGAAAAAAAACGTGGTCTTCCTGCGACTGAATGTTTGCGAAAACTTTGTTTGCCGCCCGTCGCTGGCCATAATGCTAAACTTTCTTGCGTTCAAATCCATTTTTTTGCTGTTAGCCGGACTCTTTTATTTCATTCCTTTTGTCAAATGCAGACCAAACCAATTACAAAATCCACACAGCCAGGGAACCAACAGAACTGGGCCATCAGAGGGACAAGCAAAGTTTGGCTTGCAAACAATTGCAATTTATTAAGCCAAGAGCCAAGCAAAGCGCAAACAATGTCCGTGTCCATGTGGCCAGCATAATTAAAAGTAAGTTCAATGCGCTGCTCCAGACAACGGGGATAGTCAAGAATCTCGACTAGAGATGAGCAGAGAAATTCCAAATGTTTGCAATTTAATTTACATTCAAAAACAATTATTGCGGGAGATAATACAGTTTAGGAAATAATTGCATTTAATTTGGTTAGCTGCTGAAACAAGAAAACGAATTATAATTGAATTGCGGTCAAAGGAGCGGATGTGAAAAATATGCGGAAATTCCTAAACACTTTAAAGAGTTCGTCACTGACAAAACGGAGGGTAATGAAAGAGTTGACAGCTCTTAACTTATATCGAAAATATAATTTATGAGTCGATAGATCATGACCTTTATGAAGGACTAACTTTCTGACGTCACTTTATTTTTAAATTATTCTCAAATTATTATCTGCAATCCCAGCTCTCTGCATCTCCCATACGCCCTGTAGTACGAACTTAATATGCATGGTAGCTCTTGTAAGTTGTAATTATGTTGCAATAAGTTGGCCCGGGCTCGAAGTGCGGATTTTGCTAATGCGCTGGTTGCAAGTATGTGATCAGGCACTTCAATTGCGAATTTGTAAGGAAAGTCAATGCAGAAGAAGGACCAAACAATGGGGCCACTGATTAGTTGTGAATTTACTGCTGATTAAGATGCTTTTCAAAAGAATTCACTGCCCACTCTGGTCAAACGAACTTTCCCACCAACTTTTCGCGTTTTCCCTGTATCTGTCGGTTTCAGAGGGCCCTGTGCTCGTGTGGCCGCTAACTTTCTGTTGAATTGGCAGTTTATGAAAAATTCAAGGACAGACATTAATTTCGCGCTAACTTCTAGGGGCAAGTCCATATAAATTACACCAAAATATCCGTAAGTCATCCGGAAGGAAGAAATATATTCGAAAGTCAGCAGCAAGGATGAGCAAATTAATCAAAAGTGCTGAGCTTGCTATCCCATTCGACTTTGAGTTTATTAATCAATATATTATCCCTTCCTGTAAATAGAATACATTAAATGGGTTTAAGCCGAGCATATTTTCACATTAGCACTTTCGACAAATGATTTTGTATCAAATGCCTGCGTGGTAATGAAATCACCTGTTTTCCATTAAATACGTTAAATCATAAACAGCTTTTTAGTTTTTATGAGAGTTAATTTATATTTTTTCCCTAAATGAATATAAGTTCATTTATTATCTAAATGAACACACATTGTGTTCTAACTCTAAGCGTATTTAAAGTAAATTTTACCGTTGTTTCAGCTGGCCATTTTCAAAATTTAATCAGTTGAAACCACTTAATTACGGTATGGGTGTTTGCCCTCCTTTCTTTGTGCGCACAAATGTTCAGGCATTTCTATTGCGCAAAATAAATCACAGTGTAAGCCTTTTGTTTTTCCATTTGTTTACAGGCTAAATGAAATCATGACAATGTATCGTGAATCAACAAAATCAGCTGAGAGACAAATTGCATAGAACACGCAGCAGCATCGAGTGCAGCTTCAAACACGGGTTGTATCTATATACATATGCCAATTACTGTTTTTTGATGTCGTAAGCCTCGATTCGTTGCTGTTCTATTGACAAGCTAAACGGATCCGAGTTAGGTCCGTGTGGGTATTTATTTAAATTTATCGCATTGAGCTGTGCGTGCGGATGCGAAGCCAATTGCAAAATTCCCATGCAATTTGGACGCGTAGATTCCATGTAATTAACAATTTAGCGATTGCAATGGCAGCCATTTTGTCAGGGTGCATAACAATGAGCGAATAAAATGCATTTGCTAAATAATGCAAATTCAGTTTTGACGCACATAATTCCATTTTAATGGAAATTTTCTACTTAGCACTGCCGTTGTTGTTTTTACGGCTCGCCTGAGGCGATGCAGCATATAAATAAAGGTGCTGGCCAACGTAATTTAATTGCTTATTTTGCCATTATGGCCATACAGGCTTCTGTAGTCTTTTATTTATGTAATATTTCTGCCGGAAGTTGCGCATACGCCACGTTGAAGGAAGGTCAAACGAAAAAAAAAAACGAAAAAAGCCGCCAGTTATGTGGGGAACGTATTCTAATGGTGGGAATAAAAAGAGTGCTCACATACATGGCATCGCAAGGAGCCAGCTAGTTGAACTTTTATTATTCCTGACAACCTGCACTATTTTATTTGCCCAGCTACTACACTTTAAATATTTATTTCGCCCCAAATAGCTGTAAATTCTCGGCTCCCATAATCCTTTAGGGGTAAGCCCCTCCTTATCAAAGGACATAAAGTATGGCAACACCTGATTTATACACGAAGCCCACTTTACTGGAAAATGGACATACAAAATCAGAGAGCAACTATGTATCTGACTGGCCAGCAGTGTTTGGACAGCGATCTACACTTGGAAAACGAAGGACTTGTACCGAAAATGGCTCGAATCTTTAGATTGCAAACCAATGTCTTGTGGAACTGATTTCCCATTTAAAAATGATATCAAACAGAACATGTATTTGCTTATGCTTTACCTTTTTAATACAATACTGATTCTGGTTTCATAATCATAGGTATCGGTGCAGTGTGCAAGTCGCTTTTGGTGAGGGAACGCTTAACTTATTAAATGCGCACACTCCGTTTTAATTACTCACACACATAACGGTGTGTGCACGTGTGAGTTGCTAATTGCGGGTCCATACACACACATGCCAGCCGAGCACAATTTTAATGCGCACTTCCGTTTCCGCTGTAATGCCTGCGGCATAGTTTATTTTTATAACCCGCAACACGGGACTTCCACTGCCGCCGCCTCCTTTGCGGTGCGTAATTGTTAATTTTCAACAGCGCATACTATGCCGCAATGAACGACTGACTGACTGAGTGACTGACTGAGTGACTGACTGCCTGAAGGACTGATGGACGGAGGGAGCGAACAACTGACAGACGGATGCATCGGCTTCACAAGAAAGAAGGCCTGACATTTTGATATTGCTGTGCACTGCAAATTACCAGCATTTTAAGTGCGTGGCCGCAAAGAGGAAAAGCGTTAACACGGATAAACATTGACAGCAGCCGGCCATTCCGCATCAACCGCAGGATTCACGGAAAAAAAATTGAGAATCTTTCCCGTGTTTATCGCACGTGTTTGTATGCTATATAAGATAACATTTCAACGTTAATTTATTATTATTACGGAAATTTGTGCTGTCAACAATCTGTCTTACAAC